TCCACTCACCTCAGCCTCCCAAAGGCGTGGTATTACAGGCTGAGCCACCGAGCCTGGCTTGTCTTTTTGTTTTTTTCTGTCAGGATCTCTGTTGCCCAGGCTGGAGTACAGTGGCATGATCATAGCTTACTATAGCCTTGACTTCCTGGGTTTAAGTGATCTTTTGAGTAGCTGGGACTACAGGTGCCATCATGCTTGGCTAATTTAATTTTTAGTTTTTGTTTTGTTTTGTTTGAGTTGGAGTCTCACTGTGTTGCCCAGGCTGGAGTGCAGTGGCACACTCATGGCCACCGCAGCCTCGACCTGCTGGGCTCCGGCGATCCTTCCGCCTCAGCCTTCCAAGTAGCTGGAACTACAGGCACATGCCACCATGCCCTGCCAATTTTTAAATTTTTATTGTAGAGATGAGGTCTCGCCAAGTTGCCCTGGCTGAACCCGTGGGCTTAGGGAATCCTTTCACCTTGGCCTCCCAAAGTGCTGAGATTATAGGCGTGAGCCACCGTGCTCAGCCTTAATTTTTATTTTTGTAGAGATGGAGTCTCACTATGTTGTCCTGGCTAATCTCAGACTCTTGACATCAAGCAGTCTTCCTGCCATGGCCTCCCAAAGTCCTGGGCTTACAGGCATGAGCCATCATGCCCGGCCTCTCCCTGCTTTCTTTCATTTTGCTTTTGTTTTTGAGTCAGAATCTCACTCTGTCGCCCAGGGTAGAGTGCAGTGGCAGTCTCACAGCCACCACAGCCTCAACCTGCTGGGCTCAGGCAATCCTGCCGCTTCAGCCTTCCAAGTAGTTGGAATGACAGGTGCGCGCCCCCATGCCCAGGCTGATCTCAAATCCCTGGGCTCAGGCAGTCGTCTCACCTCTGCCTCCCAAAATGCTGGGATTACAGGCGCCAGCCACTGCGTCCAGCTTTTCCTTCTTTTTTTCAAAGAGACAGACTGGCAGGTGGTGGGAGGCCCCTTCTTCATCTCAATTATGTGTGCCTCCCCAGGAGGTGGTTTTGGGAGCTACAACAGACCCAGATATCCCTCTGGGGCTCAGGAACACCTAAAGTAATGGCTGACCATCAGGCACTTTTCAGATGTGAAGACCTGATTCCTCAGGGAGGTGGAAGACATTATTATTTTATTTTATTCTTTTTTTAGAAAGCAGGATTTACTGAGAGGACAGAAAAACTCCCACAGTGTGAGGGGACCTGAGGGGGTTGCCTGTGGAAGATATTACAAACTCTTTTTTGGGGGGGTTGGAATCTCTCTGTTGCCCAGGTTGGAGTGCAGTGACACACTCACGGCCACCACAGCCTCGACCTGCTGGGCTCAGGCAATCCTTCTGCCTCAGCCTTCCAAGTAGCCGGAACTACAGGCATGCGCCACCACACCCGGGTAGTTTTTAAATTTATTGTAGAGATGAGGTCTCTCCAAGTTGCCTGGGCTGGTCTCGAATCTGTGGGCTCAGGCAATCCTCTCACCTCGGCCTCCCAAAGTGCTGGGATTATAGGCGTGGGTCACCACGCCTGGCCGGTATTATAAACTCTTAAGGAGATGTGGGTTTGGAGAAGTTAAGCAAGCTGCTCAGGGTCACACAGCACTAGTCGGGGCAGCGCCTGCTTGAATTTGAACCCAGGCAGGCTGACTCCAGACCGTATCAGCTCCACCACTGGGCTGGAGAGAGGCCCCTCAGCCCTCTCTTTGCCATAGAAGCGGAGCCACCAGCCTCAACCAGAAGAAGCCCAGATGGCAGATGGGTCCCTTGCTAGGCTCCTGGGCGACACTCTCTTCCTTTACTCTGAGGCACAGGGTCCAGCAGTTCCTCTGAAGACATGTCTGGAGCTTTGATGAGGGTCCCAGATCCCTAAGTCGGAACCTTGCCGGGCAACATCAGCTTAAAGACTAGGACTGCCAGAGGGAGAGAAGACAGGCAGCAGAGGTTGAGGGCCCCAACCCCCGTTGGAATTCCCCTTCTCCAGTAGTTGAGAAACAGACTCTGTTTGGAAACTTAAGCTCTGGAGGGGGCTGGGAGGGGGTGGGGGAGAAGAGGTTCTGGCCAAGTCAGAATCAGTCATTTTCCCAGATACCCATGTGTTTCCCCCATCACCTCCTTCAGGCCTCTGCTCAAAGCCTCCTCCTCAGAGAGGCCCTCCCTGACTCCTCATCTGCTCAACCCTGGCAGTATATTGGTGTTTTGTTTTGTTTGAATCTGGGTCTCACTCTGTTGCCCAGAGTGGAGTGTAGTTGTACAATTATAGCTCATTGCAGCTTCAACCTCTTGGGCTCAGGCGATCCTCCCACCTCAGCCTCCCAAGTAGCTAGGACTACAGGCACACGCCACCATGCCTGTCTAATTTTTAATTTTTTGTAGAGACAGGGTCTTGCTATGTTGCCCTGGCTGGTCTTGAGCTCCTGGACTCAATAAATCCTGCCACTTTGGCCTCCCAAAGTGATGAGATTACAGATATGAGCCACTGT